GGTTGGATCTTTTCAGAACTGAATGGCCCGTCAGGTTATCTGCACAAAGCAGCTTCCTCTGAATGCTGAGGAAACTCAGAGCAGAAATACCATGTGTTAAAAGTCAAAACTGGTTGTCTGCCCTGGGCTCTTCGAAGGAAATGAATGAACTCGCCATTGTTGTGAAGCTTCAATATGTTTATTCTCCCTGAGCTTCTAGAACTGTGCTAGGTAAGAAGCAAGGGCTCCATGACCAGCAGAAAAATTAGTAAGAAGCATCTTAGTGTTAAAAAGAATTTTCCGGGGCTGGGGATTTAGCTCAGGGGCGTAAGTGCCTACCGGGCAGGTGCTAGGTCCTGAGTTTAATCCCTGGTACCAAAAAAAAAAAAAAAAAAAAGAAGAGGAAGAGGAAGAAGAATTTTCCACTGTTAGCCCTTACAACTCAATGGTGAGGGCACTGGCTCTTCAAAATTACCAAACTTGTGGTTTCTGCCCTCACTTGTGTCGCTCTCAGCTCTGTATGGTCTGTCATTTCTTCTCTTCTGCCCTGTCAGCTGCTCGTCATCTCTCAGCCAAATGAATGAGCTGTTGAAAGAATTCATCAACAAACTCACAGATTAATACAAAGCACAGCAGCTAAGTATTACTCTGTTAACCTGAATATGTTACTGTAATTTGGCCCGTTGGGATTGCAATAAAAGTATTACAGGAAGAAGGAGCAACAGTTATGATCCCAGGGCTAGGATCAGGACGGCTTTCCTTGGAGCTTTGTGGCTTGTAGTTTTTCACTTGGGTTGGACTTCACCCTTTGTCTATATGTAGCCAATCATAGCTTACCGCCCCCCAAGTGAGCCCAGGCAAGCGGCACCTGGAAGCGCCCCTCCGGATGCAAACATACTATCAGCCCTTGCAGTTTCCTTCAGGGGGTTCTGCTCGCTGTCTGAGCTCCCTGTCTGAGTGCTGTTCTTCATTAGCTTGTTTCCTTCTTGCCATCAAAGCCTTCAGCCCTCACTGCACAGACTGACCCTGTCTGAACAGCAGAGAACCGTGCTGATAGGGCCCCCACATGCTTCCTCTCGGGGATTTCAGGCACCCTCACCGAGCCTCCTCCAGCAGAGCTAACCCAGCTCTCTGCATGGGTCTTTCCTCCAACTCTGAAAGTAATGATCTTTCACTACCCCCCATACAGTTCATTCAGGTTACCTATAAGAAATCCAAACCCAGAGGAGCATCCATTAGAAGTAGAGAAAAGGCTGTGCTTTGGACACACTGGCTCCTTCCCAAGCTGAACACGCTTATGTAAATCTGACTCCATTACCGCCCAGCCTGCATATGCACCAGGGCACCCAGCCTTTCTGGACTTAAGCTTTTGTTTACCCACTGTCAAGTGGGTATTTCCCAGGCAGCTTCTCCTCCTCCCGTGGAGACTGGCTGCAAACACCCTACCCCCTACCCAGGCAACCAAATGTGATATCAAAGGAGCCCCGGAATGGCCATCTGTCCCTGCCATGCCAATGTTTATGCAGTGTGGGCAGGAGAAAGGCAGGCCAGGGATGGTGTCCTGCGGTGTGAGACCCACAGCACCACTATCTCAGGCTGTGTGTGCCATGGAGCAAGACAGTCAGAGAATGTCCTCACGCTAGCCAGAGGGTCCCCCACATCTTAGAAGAAACACAACTTAACCCTCCGGCGGTGTTCAGAGATACATTTCTCTTGTGGATGAGCACCTGAGACCAAAGTAACATCCCTAACTTTGTAATTTTTCCAGTATTACCCACCCTCCCAGAAAGCGCATCTAACCATGGTATTTCAGGCATAATGAATAATGAATTCATGGAACTCAGAAAAGAATTGGCTAAACACAAAAAAGGTTAGAAATGAAGAGTCTCCAATTATTAGATGTCTTCACCTAAACTTCTCTGTTTGCACCCAGAATTTAGGGTTAACACGTGTGACAATGCTCAGTGAAGTCAGGTAAAATGCACATCAAAGCCAAAGGCACTGCCACCACAGTGAGATTTCAGTCAAGTCCCTTGGGTTCCATCACACATGCCAGAGGGGTGGAAGTCCAACGCTCCACCTCCACACTCTGCCAGCACCCAGTCAACCAAATGCACACTGACTATGCCAGCACTGAACAGACTCCCTCTTCTTATCATTATCCTCTAAGCTACTGAGCCTGACAACCACCGACAAAATATTTACAATGGGTTAGGTACTCTAAGTAACCTAGAGGTGATTTAAAGTCAGCAGAGAATATTCACAGTTGTACGGAGACACTATACCACTGAAGATGTTAAGAAGACCTGGGGCCAGCTCTCGCATGCACTAAGGGATGCTGTATTCTTTTGGACAGTATTTATAAGAATGCCAGATATACAGTAGGTGCTTAACGTATGTAGTCTCTTTTCTTTGCATTCTTACTCCCAAGCTAGCTCTCATTCCATGAACTTAAAGCAGCAGCCAAGGGCATCCCAGAGGACAAATGCAATGACAGATTGCTAAGGACGGTGGCCCAGCACCAGCTCAAAGTTTGCACACAACACTCCACTGAGGGTATTTGCATTCTCTTTCAAAGCATGGGGTGGGGATTACTCCAAAAGTTTCTCCTTCTACTTGCATGGAACCCATCCAACCACAGACACAAGCACTGGAAGAGGAGCCTTGCTGTCTATCACATAAATCTGCTTCCATCTCAGGAGGAGATAGCCAAAGGGTGATGCATCCATCCTATGATTCAGCTTGCACAGCTGCAGCAAGAAAGTACACACAGGCGCACAGCAGGGTGGGCACCCAACTCCCAGATCTGTTCCTTGCTCTCTTTTTTAATCTGGCTCCTAAACCACATTAGCTTCCTTCACTCGGAGGAACCTCAGAGCAGCCTTGACATTTCTGTGCCTGGCTCCCGAAAGAATCCCGAAACACTTGTCTTGTGAGACAGGGCATAACCATGGTTCCCAAGAGATTACTGACAGTGCTGCCAGGGGAGGGGACAAATGCAAGACTGCATGTGACAGGTAACACTGGTTCTGCAGCCAGAGGGACAGTGGGCTGGGATGAGCCAGAGAGGCGGGGAGGAGGAGGTGGACTTGAGTTGAACTTCAGGAATGGGCCAGTCTGAATCAGCACAGAGCTGCTAGAAGGCTGTTATGGGGCAGAACCCAGCAAGGATGTTAGAAGGACCCAGGAAGGCTGATTCTGCAAGGCCATCCAGTCATTCATTGAGCAACCATTTACCAACATCCCCAACAATGCAGAGGCACACGGAAGGCTAAGGCCAAGCAGTCCTACTGCAGAGGAATGTGCTGGGGAGCACTGGTTAAAGGACAGACTGGTGCCAGGTTACTGAGTTCAAATCTTCCTCGTTTCCCCCATTTCCCAATTCTCCTGCCTTGGACAAGATACTGTTTTGGTTTTCATTGGTTCTTGTTTGGGTTTTGATATAGTTATTGGTGGTAGTAATGCAGATTGAACTGCATATGCTTCTTAGCTTTTATTCTGAGACAGGGTCTCACTAAATTGCTGGGGCATGACTCAAACTTGTGGTCCTCCTATGGCATCAGCCTTCTATAGTGCTGGGATTAGCGCTGTGGCTTACTGCACTCGAGCTGGTCCAGGACAAGTTACTTAAATAGGTTACTTAAGACAGAGTGAAGTTGCCTTATCTTACGCATTAGGATTTCCAGAGAAAACCATCTGCAAGGAGGCACCCTGGAAGGATAAAAGCCACAGAGCTGCTCTCCGGAGGCAGGACTGGGCATCCTGAGAGCTGTTCTGGAATGTGTGCGCTTCCTCGCCATTAACCTTGTAGAAACGTGACCTGGCGCACAGCGACCCCCGCCCCCAAACTTGGTCAAAGGAGACCCAACTCCCCAGGGCAGTCCTATAACACAGAAGTGGGGTGCTGGCCCTGGGGAGAGTGAATTTGCAAGAATGGAAAGAATCACAGAGCATACAGCAAAACATGGGCTGCAAAGGGTTAATGGATATTTTCAACCTCTGGAAAACAGCACATAACCCAGTTAAGATCATACAGTGTGACGAAAGAGAGCTGTCTAGCAGTCGCTGGGAACAATCGGGGAGGAGAGACCAGGCTGTGCTCTGGATTGCGGCAGGGAGGAGCAACAGGAAAGACAGGAGGAACAAGTCGCAGCAGATCCCAGGACAGGACCCGGAATGCTGGGTGGGAAACTTGGAAGCCGCAAGGGCCAGGCCTCCAAAGTGTCTGTGCTTCTGCCTCCTGTTTTGTTTCAAAGTCTGCACCAACCAGAATCCTACCAAAAGCTGGTGGATGTTAAACAACGTGTCACTAAGGCACCAGGAACAAGGTGTGGGGGGAAAGAAAACAGCAACTTGGCACTGCAAGAGAAGCCTCTGTTTCTAAGTCCTTCTTCCCCTGTGAAGCAGATGAGGACGACACAGGCAATGCCACTGGCCTCTACTTGCAGAAAGGACACTGCAGAACACAGGTGTATCCCTTGGTCCTTTCTGGGGAAAGCCTCAAGGCCATCAAGCAAGGAAGATGTCCAGTTTGACCAGAGCAATGAAGCTCCCATGAGGTTTTTTCCACTTTACCTCAACCCACTTTGAAGTTCAGATAAAGGCTTACCCTCTTCTGTTAAAAATAACATGATCCCACGCACGAAAACCCCAAACACGCGTATTCCAATACCGAGTTTCTTACTCCACAGCCCTTTTCCCCTTTCCTAGAATCTTACAGGCAGGCAAAAGAGAAGGCAAGGAGACAGGGTAGGAAATCTTCCTCTGAAATCTCTGAAACAATATAACCATAGCAACTACCGAAAGAATGGGCATGCGTCAGAAGGTTTCCAGGGAACCAAATTCAAACCCTCAGCCAGCAAGTGGGGAGAACCAGCAACCCTTTTCCCACCAAAACGACTGTCACTGTCAATGATCTTACTGCCCGCAGAGGGAGATACATTTAGGCAGGACCCCAATATGATAAAGACTTCAAAAGCGTAATGCCGTCCTTTCCAGCCTTCTGCCAATGCCACACTTACCCCATTCCAAACAGAAGTAGCTGTGCCAAGACGTCGGAAGGTGCCATCAGCCAGGGACGCTCATATCCTAGGTTAGGGGCTGGGATTCAGAGCATCACACCCCATGTCAGGACTAACCTTCCTCCTCTTCGTTCGGGGCCTCAGAAGATGGGTCTCAATCCACAGTGATTCGATCTGTCAGAGTGGACATAGGAACATGGTGGGTTCTGTGTTCCTTATATACTTCTAGAAACATTAACAAATAACATAAGAACAGCACCTCCTGTTGTAGGTGTCCAGTACTTCAGTAGTTAGGACTGCAGCAGTATTTGAATAAGCAATTTGTGTTTAATACTCAAAGAGGCCCTCGCCCCATTACAGCTTTGTGGAAGCACCTTCCCTGATCAATCTGGCCCATCCAATTCCCTGGTTTAGGGAAACACTGGTTTCCATGATTCCAAGGTACTCAGAACAAAATCTTGTAAATCCACACCAAACCATCCAGCACTAAAAACTTCCCAAGAGTGGTAACCTCTTCCCCAAAGTTGTGCCAAATGCAAGCCATGCTAATACTTGTTTACAAGCCCCTGGAGGGGCACAAGCATTGCGGAATTCTTAAGAAAACTACACCTCTTTGTTCTTCCCTGTCATAAAAGCATCAGCTAGAACAAACTGGAGCCACCGGTCACAGCGGACAGGGAGACCAAGGGCAGTGCATCAATCTGTCTTCAGGAAAACAACGTCATATTTGAGACGTGTTCGCTGCATGAAATGTAAACTGAAGCTCTCTCCCAGAAGGAAGCAGTGAACCACTTCAACATCATGCAATAAAGCAAAAGATGCCTTTTCCCATAAAGAAATACATTGAAATAAATTATGCATATATTCCCCGGGGCCTTTTCACCTGCCAAGCCCAAAAAAAAAAGACCAACTGGCTCAGGCGTGGGTGAGCTGCACACTTTACACTCCTCAGTGAGGGAATCTCAGCTTCAACCCTGCACACAGTACCAAGGGATTGATGTCCCTAGGCTCTGGGTAAGCTGTTGAATTTTGTATTCATGGAAGGGAGGGAGGGAAAGGGAAGTGGAGGGGAGGGGCGGAAGGAAAGGAAGGGGAAAAGAAAAAAGACAGAAACAATAAAAGGAAGAAAAAGAAGGAAGAAAGAAAAGTAAAGAACAGGATAATTAGCGTCTCAAGGAGGTAAGATGAGCTAGGGGAAAAAAATCCTAGGAAAGATAGAAATCAGAGGACTAAAAATATATGGCCAAGTTACCATCAATCAACTAAGCAGATAAGATAAAAATCTAGAGAGTAACCTGGACCCTCAGTTGTCCTTAATGAAGACAGAACAGTCTCATGTATTAAGTTCCTGCTCTATGCCATATCCCATGATGGGACACCACAGGAATTCACAGTGACATCTCACCACAGCCCCAGAGAGCAGTTTTCAGGACGGGGACGTTTAAGTCCATAGAGCTGAGGTAACTTTCCTGAAGTCATACAGCTAACAAGAACACAGCAGGAACTCAAAGCCAGAGCATTCTGATTCCAGCACACTTGATCTTATCCTGCCACAGCCTCCAAAAGAAGTTGTTCCAAGACTTTTAAATGCTCAAATTCATGCATTAAATATGAACCAAAACAAAATGTTCTTCCCCAGTCATTACAGCAAATTTGCTCTTCTTTGTACAAGTTGAGTGTACGGCTGAGTGGGCTGAACGCACCTACCAGACACATTAAATTACCAGTGAGCCTTATGCATATTCCAGTTAGATGCTTCTCAGACAGCTTCCAGGATGTGTGTTCCCGTGATTACACAAACCAACCTCAGAACAGTTCTGTCCAAGGTGTGCAGCACTGGTGAACAGAATGTATGTTTCAATGAGTGGGAAAAACAATCTACGTCAAAGATATTATGTCTGCCTCCTCCCAACTAAAACACTCACTTGCTGATGTGTTCCTCAAGGCAGAATTTTTTTTTTTTAATGCCTAAGAGCTCAAGAAAAGGACGTGGGCTTTGTGTTTCAATTAAAATACCAATGAAAACCAAAATTAGTTCTTCCAGAAGACAATAAAGTTAAAATGTTATCCAGAGTGATAGAGACACACGGCCAGGGGATGGTAGTGCACATCTGTAATCCTAGGTACCCTGCAGACTGAGGCAGGAGGATTGCAATCTGAGTCCATCCTTGGCAAATGTGAAAGACCCTTGGGGTTGGAGATGTAGCTCACTGTAAAGGCTCTGGGCTCAATTCCCAGTAACACAGGAAGGAGGAAAAGAAGGAAGGAAAGAAGGAAGGAACGGAGGAAGGAAAGAAGGAGGGAAGGAAGGAAAAACAAGACCTCTAAGACATATCCCTGGGGGAAAGGCACCTGCTGAGCAATGTGACACCTGAGTTCCACACCCAGCACTGGAAAAGAAAGGAAGGAAACGGAAAATAAAATAAAAGCAAGAATAGCCAATGCCAGGAATGAAGAAGAAAACATTTCTACTGATGCTATGGTCTTGTGAAGTATTATAAAAGGATATGGTCTTATAAAGTATTATAAAAGGCATGACTTCAATCAAATGTAAAGCCTCAATAAATGTAAAACCTTATACAAAACAGGAGAATTCCTACGTGAATTAGTCACTGTCACACAATAAGTTACCTGGTCTTAGTGGTGCTTGCCTGTTTCCCGGTTACTGGAGAGGCTGAGGCAGGTCGATTGCAAATTGAAGGCCAATCTGGCCAGTTAAGGGAGACCTTATCTCAAAATAAAATTTAAACAGGACTGATGTTGTCTAGCAAGAGTGAAACCTAAAGTTCAAGCCGCTGAACCACAAATAGTAATACTAATACAGTAGTACTAATAATTCTGGTCATTCTATGTCTATTATACAAATCAAAATACGAGTTTAAAAAAGAAAGAACGAAAGAATACAAACAGCTGGGACCAAACCACACTGCTAGGAAAGGAGAAAGCCAGTGGTCTCCTAAACCTACATCATGGGCCCATGGGAGAAGTAGTTCCAGTTTCAGGGGTCCGCACGACATCTTCTAACAGTCTCAAGTGACAACAGCTAAGAATCTTTGGCAAGTGAATCCCATATGCCCTGTTCTCTAGCTAAGGATTACGGTTCCCTAAGGCTCCATCTACCATGAGATCCACCCTAGCTGCCTTTCCTGCTGAGTGACTGGCTGAAGGTTCTTGGGGGTGGGGAAAGCAGCCCCAAATTTGCGTGCCCCCTGACCCCCCAGTGAGCTCAAACAAGGGGCTCCAGCAGGTAGGTGTGGCAGAATCAGATCTCACAACCTGCTCTCTCCTGGGTCTATCTGGTTTGGCATAAGAACAGTTCACACGTGCACCCTGAACTGCAAGCAAGGGGGTGAGGGTCACAGCAAGCTAAGGTGACCCCACAACCTATCTCCTGCAACAGGCTCAAGGGCAAGAAAAGGGAGAAGGCCAGACAGTCCGGCTCTGACACCCCCAGCACGACACCTTAACACCTCTGAATCCCACTCAGCCCAGCACTGGGAGACAAACACTTGTTAAATGAGTTTTTTATCTTTCTACAAATATAGTAAGACCCAGACATTTCTTCACTTTCATTTCTTGCCCTAAAAGTAAGGTGAATCTCTAAACGTGTTTAGTGAAGGGCCGGCTTACCAAAAAATAAATAAACCCCAATTCTTTCCTGGCTCCAGTTCCTGCTGCTACTGATCACATAGGAAATAAATGAACCAGGGTATCCCCAAAACCTCCGTCTGACCCCCCCACACATACCCCACGAGCAAAGACTACGCACATCACAGGAAGCCCCTGGACCAGCTCCAAACGGACTGAAAGGAGAAACTAACTCGGTCCGGGCCAATAATCCCATGGCTAGGACCCTGCCCCGCGCGTTGGCCCCACTCCACCCCCATCTCCACCCCAACTTCCTCTCCACACCCTACCGGAATCCACTGGGGCGATCGACCCGAGATGCTCCAGCGGTAGGGAGACACGGACAGCTTCGGAAAAGTTCTGGACGCACTGGTAACACCTCGGTGCCCTGAAGGCCAGGAGAGGACAAACTGAAAATCAGCCCGAGGAGACTCCATGGCCTCTCCCGGACGCTTCAGAGGATCCCCGGGGGCTGGCTCGCACCCGAGCCCGCAGCCCCTCTCCGGCCGTCTGCAGGGATGGACGTGCGCTTGTCCCGGTGCCGCGGGGCAGCCGCTGTGGACGCGCCTCCGCCGGGGACCTTGGCGCCCCGCGCCTTGCCCAGCCGGCACCCCAGGGCTGCGACCCCGCTGACAGGGGGCCGGGACGGGGGCGATCGAGAGCTCTCAGAGCTCCGGCCCCGCGCGCGCAGCCAGGACCCGGGGCGCACGGAGCGCGGGACGGGCGGGGGGCGCACGGGGTGCTTGGGGCTCCCCGGCCTCAGGACGCGGCTCCCGGCTCTCACCTGTTCTCATGCGTGGCCGCACCGGCCCCGGGCCCCCCAAACCCGAGAGATTCGCCAGGGGCAGGAGGGGATCGGAGAATTCCAGCTCCCACCCCGCTCGCTCGTCCAGCCTCTCACCTCCCAAACTTCGGGAGACGAGAGAGGAAACGGCCGCCGGCTGCGGACGAGGAGCGGGTGTCACCGCGAGCTCCGCGCGAGAATCTGGAAGCTGGGGTGCGCCGCGGGCCGCGCTCCTCCCCGCCCCGCCCCCTCCGCCGTCCCCGCCCCGCCCCCCTTCGCCCCGACCGCGCGTGAGCCGGACTCCCCGGGCGCCGGACCCGGCTGCGGGACGCCAGACCCCAGGGCCGCAAGGAGGGTGAAGGTGGTCGCCCCGCGCAACGCGTAAAAGATCCAGGGGTGGAGCCTGGCAAAAAAAAAAAAAAAGCAATGCCTGTTAAAGGACTTTACAGGCTGGAAAGCCTAAATCTAACCCCTGGTCGCAGTCAGAAAGGCTGGGTGGTCTATGAAGGGGCGAGCTGATTCCTAAACATCTGTCTTTGGGAACAGGAAAGAAACAAAATTTTCAGCTGGCCGGCTGCTCCTTAAAACCTGTCACAAACTGTTTCAGGCAAACAAAAATACAGCAGACAATGTAAGAAAACATGAAGTGCCCACCATGCTGCATCGCCCTGACAATAGCACAGCGGCACAGCACCTGCCTGGCAAGTGCAAGGTCCGGAGTTCGATTCCTGATACCACAAAAAAAAAGAAAAGGAAAGGCTTG